GTTATTGGATTCACGGTTTTGGCGCTGCAGACTTGTTTTCTTTATTTGCCAGGAATGAAAAACGAATGGAGAAATCTAGAAATTGCTTGAATTTTAGGAGCGTATGCACGGGTCCCGTGAAATCGATTTCGTGCTAGTGTTGCTTTATACCACAGAAAAAAGTTCGGTAGTTTGGACGGGAACAATAAACAGTCTGGGTTGGTAAGAGTCGATAATCGAAACGGGTTAACTTGATATTGACAGTAACAGCTTATCGCGCAAATTTATTCGGATCATCAGTGAAACAATTGCCTCATTTTTGCTTGTGTTTTTTTATGAAATATGTGTTAAATGATGTCCAACTTTTCCATCTTTTACTCACCCTTTCTGTATTAATATTTGTGTTTTCTTTGGGTATTTGAATTAACCGGTGGCTGCTTCTTAAAAGTCAGTTTTAAATGAATGATTTTTCGATGTTCAAGTTTTGCTGTTGCATCTTGCTAACATTACTGTGAATGATTTTGACAGTATTGGAGCCCCACTATATCGACTCAGACGAATCTGATCAGTTTTCTTCGGAACTTTTGAACGATCTTGGTTGGCTGAGTAAAATGCATTGGTCGTTTTAAACAAACTTTGCCCATTTCTTCAGTTTGTCGTTGTGCTCATCTTCGCACTTTGCTCTCTTTTTCTTTAGGACTTTTGTAAAAGTCATTTCTGTTGTTCGGCTCAGATAGAGTTGTTTTTTTTTCATTTCGTATTCATTCTCTCTGCAACATTTTTTTCAATGTCTGATGGCTATTTGAGTTTGTTATATAAAATTTTTTCTATCTTTTTTGTCGGTGCTTCCCCGTCCTTTGCTTCCGAGCCTTTGTGATTTCATGCTTCTTTTTTTTCTTGCAATTTACGGACTGCATTTTGATTGAATCACTTTGCTGGCTTCCGGTTTGGACTTCTGCATCTTATCAAAATAGCCAAAAAAAAAGCATCATTGCTGTTGATTTAACCTGCGCTGTATTGCTTCTACACCTTCAGACCCAAATTTCAACAGCCTTATGGGATAAGGGTCGCATGGTTTGGAAGACCTATGACCGAGCTTCAGCAGACGTTCTGGAATTCTGGGTGAGCGGACATTCAGGATACTTCTTATTTCCATCACGTCAAACTTTGCAGTTGTTGATCTTTGCAGTTCATTCAGGTGACCGCTGTCCAGTTTGTCGTTGCGTTAGTTGCTCCCACTTTCACGTGAAGTCCAGACAGTGCATGATTAATAACGGTCATCTGTATATTAAATATTAATTGTGACCCGTAGCTGCAGTTTATACCTTTTGCTGCTAGAAGAACAAAGCATTTTTATTGTAGTGTCATGAAAAATATACTGTGACCGCGTGTGCTACAGTTCATGTGTTGTGTGCTATTACCACTGCAAGGGTTTTTTTGAGGATAAACTGAATGTTAGCGTTTGAATTCACCGACAACACATCCGGTTTGTGTGTGCGGCCTCTCCGGAATTTAGGACTTGCTATGTCTCCGTGGCCGCTTTTATGCTTCATCTGATCCTCATAACAATCCTGTCTGTGCCAGGTCAAAAGGTGGCCTTTGTTACAGCAAAAAAATTGGTCTACAACTAACTACAACTTGATGTTTATCTGCGGATTGATATGCAGATATCATAATGAAATTTCCGAAATGGCCGGACTGGAAGTTGTAATTTTTTGGTTCCAATTCTTAAGATATACACTGGACATGGCAGCTTTCACT